CTGTTGACCATAAGTAGAACGAAGCGTGTTAAACACATTCTTTACAGAACATGAGTTTTCGTAATAAAGTTGAACGATTTGTAAACGTTATTTAGGCGTAAGTTCTTCCTAGATGAAATGTTAGACAATACCCACGAGTGATCTGGCAGAAAGAGGCTATTGAAAAAAGTATCTCTACTCGACCAGAACCACTGCTTTTTAATCCAAATGCATTTATAATAAATAAAAGCCTAAAATATAACGCGGTGCCAACCAAAGATAGTATTCCTTATTTCTTTTATTATTTTATTTAATTCTTTTTTTTTTAATTTTATATTCATGTTTTCGGGTTATGTAAATTTAGCTTATGTGTGGTGTTAGAATTTGAGTGTACACCGTTGTCGAGTGAGATCCGCTTTAGATGATAAAATCTGTCGCCATTAAGTGTTGTGTTCATTTTGAATGCGAAATTTAATTTTTTGTGTTACATAAACAGAAAATAAATTCATGTATAAAAAACTGCTTCTAAAGGTATTAATGAAATTAAGTTCACACTGTAAGATTGTTGTCTGTACAAAATTGGTTAAAGTAAAGGCAACACCACGAGCAAAAATATTCTTCATAAAAATTTCTGAATATTTACTGCGATTCTGCGATTAGTACAATTTTTAAAGAATTTTTGAGGACCAAAAGCTTTTTCAATAAAACTAAAATCAGTCTTTCTTTAATGAAAAGGAACTCCAGTGTCGATTGCTGTTTCTTTTCACAAAGAATGGGAGAAGTTTTATCTCATTTTTTAATTTCCATGGAAATACTGCTTAATACAATTTTGTTTGCGCTTGGAGTATCTCTGTCGGAAATATGAAGGGTTTACATTTACCAGGTCATATAGACAACGAAGGCAATGAGATGATGTTAATTATGGGGCGACCAGTTCAGTTTCTCAAATTTTTTATCGCAAATTTTTACTTGTATAAGATAGATGAAAAGCAAACAAACCTTCTATTCAAGGAATGAAAACATTCTCAATAATTATTCTTGCTTCATCGGGCACATAGACTTTCGGATAGAGCTGAGGACTGCAGAATAGTTAGAACTACTCGCAAGACTAATGGCGCTAAACATACAAAAATAAGAAATAGAGAAAACAGAGTGGACTCTAGACTGCAGGTAGAATCGATGTTGGGAATCATGGAGAAAGGTCCCAAAAGACCGAAGAGAACAGGGATGTACTTCAAACTAAAGACACAACACCTTGAGCGAATAGCATCTAAGTGAAACCCGCTGGGTCAACAAGTTCAACTTACCTTCACCTAAGCATACAAAATCTGCATGCACTCCGGAAGGGGTTACCATAATAAATAAAAAATTATCCGAAATGTAAACTATTGTAAAGGAAAAACAATAAGACACATACCATAAATTAGGGTTATTATTATTGGCAGCCGAATTTTTGGTCTTGGCTCATCTGGCCGCCTTGGGTTCGACGTCGTAACCCGTCAGCTAACGACCATAATGGGAAAAGGTCGGAGTAGAGTTTAAGACCCTGTATACTCTTCTGAGGCAACCAAACTCTAAGTTACAGTCAAATTGTTGTCTAACCCGACAAGACGCGATGACCGAGCGGAAATTTCATTTGGCGCGAGCTATTTTAGTTGACTTTTTACACTGCATCCTTCGGTAGGCAAAACGATGCGACAAGTAGCTAGCGCGGCGCTTGATTTCTCCAGGGAAGAGGTTCAGGGGCTTATCGGGAAGTCGAAAGCCTCCAAATCCATCGGCCCTGGCGGAATTAGCAAAAAGCTAAAACATTTTGGACCAGCGGAAACAGACTTCCTCACCAAGGTCCTCAACTTGTCTTTGATCACCCTAATTATACCCGATATGTAAAAAATGGGTTGAGTGATCTCGCGACTCAAGCAGGGGAAACCAGCACGGCTTCCGCACAGTAGCACACCAGCACTGAACGTCATAAGCACCTAGACAGTCAATGGTCTTAGCACTGGATCTGTCAAAAGCTTTTGACACCATCAATATTTTAGTGCTAGTAGTTGCAGAGGTGGATCATGGGCTACCTGATTGGTTGACAATCATCGGTAATATTTTAAGGTGAACCATCGCAACCAAGGTAAATTAAACAAGGGGTTCCGCAGGGTGGTATCCGGTATAAGTTTCCCTCATTTCATCTGCCAATGATTGCACGATATTGGCGTTTCGCCAGAATGTCGATGATCTTTGTTCGGAAGTGAACTGTTGTCTCGCCAATCTGTCCAATTTCTGCACTGCAAAGCAACCTAAAATACAAGCTGGGCGAAAGAATACATGCACGAATTAGATGTGAAGGTTGATGACGTGAAATTCCTATTGGGATATTACCGTACGGAGCTCGCCAATGGGCACCTAATAGAAGCACATCAGGTAGTCTAGTACTCGACTTAAAGGACACAATCCACCAAAATGTGCACCAACTGCTGCAGAGGACAGCGTACAGACAAGCACTAAAAGCCATTCACCAGGAGCCACTCAACACCTTCAAAGACTTCCTACCCGTGAATGACGTCCTCTAAGCTAAACCCCCACCCACCGCAGACAACGAGCTCGAGCTGTCTCGAGGGAACCCGCGTGACTCTGGCACGGCTTTGGTCTGTATACTGTAGTAGGTTAAGCTCCGACCTATCCAGACTCGACCCCAATATACTCAACGTTTGTCCACCTCTTCACATGCCACCTTAAGCAGACAAATCAAACCCTCTTTCCCACTGGTTCGATACTGTCGAAACAGTACGTTTTCTGTACCTAACGCTAGATGACCTCGGTGACTTAGGTTGATTTTGATTCTTCCCTAAGCGGGGTTAACGTAGCCGCTACTACAACAATAACATCACTACCCATGCACCTACATTTCTTCACCATTTTTAACCCTTTCAAGCAAACCTGGCTCGTCGTTGACGTCATTCAAAAATTGCTAAGCGGTACTATTTTATCAAAAGTCAAATATTGAAGAGCACTAAGCTTTTCAGTTATCAACAGCAAACTATCGAGTGCACACAAGTGCGAGTGCGAAAATTCAAAAATTCCCAATTCCCCATTTCCTTTGGATAGATCTCTTACAGCATTCATTATGTTGGAAAGTGAAAAAAAAATGCTTCTTTTGCACCTTATTTAAGCTTTAGAAGCCTATGGCGTATGTTTTCACACAATACAATACAAAACTCTCATAAGTCAAAACCTGTCAAAGAGATTTTCTAATTTATAATTGTCATCAAAACAAAACTTTCGCTCGATACAAAAGCCATCGATTTATTTGGATAACTATGAACTTCTAAGACTGAAAACCACCCAAAATGAATAAGGATCGGTAGTAAATACAATGAAAGCAATAATAATGCACATAATAATGCAAATAAATCATATATTGGCAGGAAATTTGAAAAATTATATTTTAAAGATATGGAAATTAAGCTAACTCTAGGTAAATCAACTAAATTTATTTCGCGATTCAATGGAAATCAACGTAAAATATTTTATAAACAATAATCCCACAAATAGAAATCAAAAAAACTTAATCAACTGTGAAATCGACTAAAACGGCGGATGATGGAAAAATAGAATCATTTAAATCGCGTTCGCTCCAACGGTAATTTATGTATGTTTGTTTTAATTTGACGCCCACACACTCTTACGAATTTCGATTTTTGCACACATTGAAAGCAACTGAAAAAGCACTGGGGAATTCCATGCTTTGTCACAGTTGCACCACAAAGAAAGCAACGCTGTTTATAAACAAACAAAAAAAAATAAAAAAAAAAAAAACGGAAAAGAATTAAACTTAATTGTGCATAAAAATTCACAAAGTTGGCGCAAATCTAAAAATTACCAAAAAATTAGTGGAGTAAATAAAATGAAATTCAAAATGACGACGCTCAGAAAGAACATTAGAAAAATGATGGCTACACAAATTTTTCAGATGAGATCATTAGCCAAAAGATAAAACCCGAACGATATTAAAGAATTACCAACTACGCTGAGAAAATGACTGAAAGCAGATGAGCGGAAAGCTGCTAATAAAATGCGTCATCAAATAAAGCAACAACAACAAATTACAAGCGCTATAAAAATGTTAAGAATAAACTGTCAAGGCAGGCTGGCTAAGCAACCAGCGGCAGCTTACAGATACTGGTGAGGTGAGCCAACAAGCTCCGCTTAACAAATTAACAAATAAAAAAATAATAATGCAAAATCAACCGCACCTTTTACACTATAACTAAAACTAAAGTATTATTTTGTTGTTACTACTTTAGTTGTTGTTGTTGTTGTTGTTGTTGTTAATACATATTCAACAAGTTGAAAAACAAACGTGCGCAGACGAGGCATTCGGCACGCGAGAAATACACACAGTGGAGCGCAGCGTAAAATAAACACAAAAGGAAAATCTAAATTTCGTAAATTGACAAACACAAAAGACTTAAGCAACGAACTCGTCTCTGAGAATTTTCAGAGCTTTTAGCCAGAAAAGTGCGAGCACCTACATACATACATACTGTATATCGAAGATGAACAAATATTAGCTGAGACAATATTAATTAGTACGAAGCATGAAATACAACAAAACGCAACTCATGAAACCATCAACATGTTCACACATCTCATATATTTTAATATCAAGATTTGCCGCTTGTCTCTTTCTCAGCCGAATTCCACTGGGCTCAGAGCGAAAATGTAAAGCTCGCTCAGCAACCAACTGTACTCTGCAGTAAACTCCGCTGTTTGTGAAGCGGCAATCAGCTGATTTTTGGGTAACACTTAGCTGAGCAAGCGATTGGCGAGCGGCAACTTACAATCTGAGCTCGAATTAGCTTTTTATTTCACACTAAATACAAAAATTAGCTTTAATTTGCTCAGACTCTCTCACTTTTTCCACTCCCCTTTGCTCACTCAATCTTTACAGCAGCCCCAACAACTGTCAAGTAATTCACCACAAAATCCGAATGGGTATTATTCACCACAGCTGCTTCATTTGGAGCTTCTTAACTTGTTTTAGATTCTGCACGGATTTGTAAGTGGTGTCTTGCACATGATCGCACCGTTACTTTGTTAGTTAATTTTGATAGCTGTTGGCGAGCGGTTGCGCGCGCTCCACACAGGCAACAACAAGATCAAAAACAAAACGACTTAACTAATAATAATTACTTAACACTGTAGACCCCCGCCACTAGAAAAGAACAACTAACAGTGGGTGACAATTGTGAAAACGAATATACATTAAAAATAATAAACAAAAAACAAAAGAAAAAAGAAAAACAAAAATAAATAAATCAATAACAATATTCGAAAGATTTAAATTATTTAATTAAACAATAGATTTGGTCTATAATATTGAGCAAACACAACGGTGCAAGCGAGAACGTCAACACAAGTTGTGAAAAAAACGAATAAAAAAAATTCATAAATTGCGAAAACTCAAAAAAAAAATATATAATTGAAAAATTTCTGCAGCTGTCACAAATTGCCGCAACGGTAAATTTACGAATTGAAGTAAAAAGTACAAACAAAGCATTTATGGATCAGTGAGTGTTGATGATTTTCGTGAAAATTCATAGAAAAAAAACAAATAAAATAACAAAAAATACTCGAAAACCACTCCAGCTGGCCATTGTATGACCTACAAAAAGTGTATGGACTAGTGTTTTTCACAATCAACAAAAACCGCAATTGAGACAGAAATTAGTCTAAAGGTGTGTACAAATACTGGGCATGAGATTTCACATTTAAGGCGCAAGAAAAACTAAAACTAAATGTAAATTTTTGTGAAATTTCATTTACGAACAATTTTATCATAAAGTTTTGTAATTGTCTAAGTAAAAATTTAATAAATTTAATTTTGTAAAAGAAAATTGTTTAAGTGCTTTTCAACATTAAAGTACCAAAATTCCTGTAAGCAGAGCAAGAGCAGCGATTTGAATCAACCCAAAACGACCAGTCAAAGCGTTAGAAACGCTTACAAACACAACCAATGTAAGTTCTTGTTTTTATTGTTATTTTATTAGAAAAAATGTTTCTAAACGCAATCTAAATTAATTCAAAATTTTTAGATATTTTTTTTATAATTTTTATAAAAGAATTTAAGCAAATAATTTTATACACATAAATTCTGGGCTTTATATATTTTCTTGCGCTTAAGATGAATTTTTTTCTAAGTACAAATTGCGATGCTTTTAAATAATATTAATTTCTCCTCTGCTGGCCGTGTTAGAACACAAGCCTTATCGCCATATAGCGTATGAACAAATTAACGGGAATTTTTTTTCTATATTACAAACTCGAGAAATTATAATGAGAAAAATAATATTGCAAAAAATTTCAAATGAAAAAGAAAGAGAAAATCTTAAAAGTTAGATTTAAAGTAAAATTTTAAGGTTTTAGAGTGAAAACCATGAAAGAACATTTATGTAAGGTTTTTGGAAAAATATAAATAGAGAAAATTTTAAATATTATAATTATTAAGTATGACTTCTACATCTATAGGCATTAAAGCCTGAAACATAAACACATAAATTTGGTTAAAATATAGTTACATTCCTCCGCCAATAATTAGGTATTATTTTTCTTTTATTTTTTAAATTTTTATGGTCGTCCGAAACCAAGCCAGCATTTATAGGCTTGTTTATTGAGCTGCTCTAGGTTACGCCAGGTTACTCTATATCAAAAAATTGTGTTTCATGAAAGCTTTTTTACTCTTATTTGCTCTACTTTTTGTTTCATGAGTCTGCTCTAAGCGGAAATGCAGCAGATCAGATCACAATTTTCTGCTCTGACTTTTTTGGTAGAGTAGCTTGGAGCAAGCAGTAAAATTTTTTTTTTTACAGACGAGCTAAGAAAACGAAAGCGGGCAAAATATAAGAAAGTGATGTTCACGAGGGCCAGCAAATGACTTAAATACAAGTGACAATAAAAATTATAAATTTTACTAAGAAATTTAGGAAAAAAATCGTAAAATTTTTCTATTTCGCTTACAACAGAAAAGTCAAACATTCCCGAAAAATGTTTCATGAGCTTTTTGTTCCGAGTTGCTCTAACTTGCTCTGTTGTTGTTTTTTTTTTTTTGGCAATTGCAATATTCTGCTCGAACAAGAGCTGCTCTACTCTATTTTTAGTCTCAATAAGCAAACTTGATATCCTCATTTTTTATTTTTGATTTCTTTTACTTCATTATTTTTTATTTAAAAACGAAATTAATATAAAAAAAAACTAAGAAAAAAATCATGTTTCCTTTAGTAATAATCACTCACATGCGTGCACAAATATATGTATATGTATATACAATTTTATTAAATTTGATTTGATTTTAAAATTCAATACTCAGCCGCGATCGCGTTAGTATGTCACCCAAAAACCCAGTAAAACCCTGTATGTATGTGCTTTGCATTTAATTAAGACAAAAGGAAAACAAAAACAAAAAACTCAGTACCAATCAAATGCTAACCGCTACTTAATTACAGCTTTATTGCATTGCTGTTGCTTTCATAAAAAAAAATTTCATAGTAAAATACTTGTTTCTTAAGTAAATAAATATAATTTTCATTTCTTTACTCTTCTTATTCACACAGCTCGAATACTTACAGGCTATTTTATTTTTATTTCTTTTGCTCATTAAAGGCACTGTTATGAGCGCACTTATGTGTGCCAAAGTGGGTAGTAGAGTGAGTGTGCGCGGCGGTCAGCAAGACGACCTTGACTTTATGCGAAAAATGTAAAAAAAAAAAGTAATAACAAAAAAAGCTAGAAAAAAAACTTATTGATTCACGCTTATTAATTAAGAATTCTTAAGCGATGAGCGAAAAGTCGACTTTGGCGCTATTTTTATTCAAGCACATTAATTAAATATTTACACTTCTAATGGCAGTTAATGTATGTGTAAGCGTACAGAAATCAACCGGCAAATCGCAATTACAAATTACAAAATTACAATTACAAAAGCAAAGTAAAATGTTATTAGCCAATAAAAAATAGAATTAAAAAAAATTAAAAAAAATAAAAATAACGAAAATAAACCCAAAGTAATAAATTAACAGACATTCACAATCATCTGCGACAGAAGCAATTGATTTATATAAAATTATTTAACAAGCTGTGTTTATATGTTTACGCGTGTGTGTATGTGTCGCTGTCTCGTCGGCTATTTATTGTAGAATCAGCAATAATATTTAATTCTGTCTGCTTTGACGTGAATCTGCGTCGCATTTGTTGCTTAAGTCTTTCGGTTGTTTCTCTTTTATTTTTGTTTCTTTGCATATGTTACGACAAACAGGCACACGGTGAGACTGACGGACATATTGATGTAGCACAGCACTCCATGTGTGTAATTAATTTGTGTACATGCGCACAATTAAACGCTAATTCACATTGAACGTGTTAAACGCTGTCAGCGCAGCATATATACATACATAACAACATCTAGCTGATGTAGTGGTGTATTGCACACCCACTTTGAGTTATGATCTGTGTTGAAACAGTTGGTGGTAAGATTTTTTGAAATCGAATGCAATGTTTATAAGCGTTGAGCGGTTCTTAATTTAAGTTTTTGAGAATTTTTTTTACAAAATTGCCTTCTAAAAAATTTTAAATAACAATTTTATGCAGTAAGCTATATTAGAGTAATTTTTGCGTTTGAAGTGAGTTAAATCTGAGTAACTGAAAATGTTTATAACTCTTAAGAAACCTTTAATTTTAGCCCACAGAAGGGTAATATTTAAAAAACTATATAAACAAAAAGGTCTTATTTCTTAAATTAGAGATTAAAAAATACAAGAAATACCATTATATATATGCTTATACAAATGTATACATATCTGAGTAGATACACAGTTGTAAAAATAGTAACAATAATTTTTTTTTAAATAAGCCGAGCATTGCAAATTACTTGATTTTTAAACATTATTATTTTTTTAAATTTTTTTAAAATTTTTTTTATTTAATTTTTTATTTTTTTATATACGCTTATACATATGTATACATATCTAAGTACATACACAGTTGTAAAAATAGTAACAATATTTTTTTTTTTAATTATTATTATTTTTTTAATTTTTTTTTAATTTTTTTTTAATTTTTTTTTATTTTTATTTTATTTTTTTATATACGCTTATACAAATGTATCTAAGTAGATACACAGTTGTAAAAATAATAATAATAATTTTTTTTTGGGAATAAGCCGAGCATTGCAAATTACTTAATTTTATCACAACTTAATTTTTTTTTTAATTTTTTTTTAATTTTTTTTTAATTTTTTTTTTAATTTTTTTTCTTTTAATTTTTTATTTTATTTTTTTATTTATTTATTTATTTTTTTGAAAACCACAACACACAACATTTTAACATTAATTTACCCGCATCGAAATATCGAAACCGAAATACCATAAAATTGCATTGCATAAAATCTTCAAACATGTCAATGCCATCAACTTACGTGAAAACTAAAAACAAATCATACCAAATCACATTTTAAAACGTGCCTACAGCCCGGTCCGACATTTAAGAACCGCCTCGGTAAATGTAAATTACCAATGAAATCACCAAGCGAATGGTAATTCAGCGGAAAGGCAGAGGAAATTATGTGTTTCTTGTGCGTAAAACAAAAAAAAACTCTCGTTTATGTTTGATAGTATTTTTCACGCGCGTTGGCCGCAAGATGATTTTTTGTTGATGCGCCGAAGAAAACCAGTATTGAGAAGCTTCAAAATTTATGCGTATTTGGAGAAATAATTCATTACATAAATTTCAATTAATTGAGTTTTTAAAAAATAGTCTTTAAGTACATTGACATTTTGTATACGCAATGGAAGAACGCGAGGCTCATCATTTAAAAAGTTTGCAAAGAGACAGCGAGTGCTTCAACACTAACTTCAAATTATTATGCTAATGATCAGCTATGTCGTTAACTAAAGATCAGTTAAACCTGCCAAGCCTACAGGGTCAGATCTGGGGCAGGCATTTAGAGATAAAAGATGGGCTTTATTAGTGGTAAAGAGTAAAGCTCCAATATTTCCTTACCCACTACTCTGTTCAATCTGTTCAATATAGTCAATCTTTGAAAATATAGCTGGTTTCAAATATATGCCACAACGTTTGACTATCTTTAAAGATAGTTAAGGCCTTTCTGTCAACACAAACCGCTTCTGCGCCATAGATTAATCTATATACACATGTATATATAAACGAAGATTAATTTTAATTTTTTAACTTATTTACAAATTTTTGTGTGTTTTTAAATGAAAGTTATAATAATTCTGAAAATAAAAATATTTAAAAATAAAAATTCAGTCACATAAAAAGTAAAAATTTGAATATAACAAGTTACAAATGTTAAAGTAGATTCCTACAAGCACGTATGTATATATTTCATAAAAAGTTATAAATATTATGTGACCAACTTAAGCTAAAAATATTTCAATTTTTCAAAATATAACTGAGAATTGTTAATGTAGAGGTATATAAAACTAAAATCACCAAAGTATGATTCATAATCGCAAAAAATATTAGACAGCATAATTAAAAATTTACATATAAATATATATATACATGCATAATAATATTCATATACACATTTAATTACTATCACAAGTTCTAGCATAACAATTTGTCAGCATCCATTTAAATAGTAAAAAAAAAAACAAATTTCAAATCAAGAAAAAGATATATTTTAATTTTTCAAAACTGATCCCTTGTTCAGCCCGCTGACTCAATCGTCCAACATAATGACACACACAGTGAAGTGTGTGATTCGGCATACAATACTGCTCTGCTGTTAGCGTTTGGTAGCCACTTTGATCAAACTTTTAATTTCCCTCAAAATAAAGTCATCATTACCGTGTCAAAATAAACACAAAAAAAAACGCTTAACCGTCAGAGCCGTTGCCGACAGCAGACCCATTAACGAGTGACAGGAATGATGTACGCACTGTGATTTCTAGCTGCCACCGCAAACAACCACAACAACAACAACAACAACCCCAGTCATGGCGACTAGACCATGCCAACATTATGTGAATTCCCAGATTAATCTACATACGTCGGTATGTACGTATCTACCTGCTGCGAATCGCCAATCAGCGCGACAGGGCAGAGGAAATCAAACGCATGCGCACACAGCTAAATCACATATGTACATATATATACATATATTAACATATATACGAGTGTGTATCACACGACCGTAAAGCACGCACAAAAAAATGAAAGCTAAAAAAGTATGGAAAAGAAATGTAAAACGAAAGCAAAAAGAATTAATGCCATCACATTTCATCTTGCCCATCATTTGGGGTCTTTGGCCTCTCAAAAGCTGAAACAACAACGACAACAACAACAAAAAAGCATTATCAAATATTTAATAGCATAAAACAAATGGTCTAACTTCTGTTCTTGTTTTTGCTTGCTAATTTGCATTTTCTTGGTCATTTCACTCTGCTCTGCTTTATATTTTCGCTGCGAAATATTTCCATTTATTTAATGTGCGTACATACGAGATAATCGTAAATTAATTAAATGTCTATACAGACTTACATATATCGTACACGAAAACTAATATTAAAAACAGTGCCGTTACGCGCACATTACACACATGCCACATATAAGCAAACATTTTACTCATTTGAATATGCATAAATTTGGCCGCCCGCAGCTTGGTATTGTGTGAGAAAAAATGTAACGAAAGAAATTTAAATTCATGTCTTTCGCCAGCAAGATAATTTACATACCTACATATACATTTATATATTCGTGCATAGTACGTGTATGTATGTTTAGAAATTCTACAACAAATAGTAATCCACCGTTTAGTTTGCAAAATATCTCACAAGCCAGGCATACGTGTGGGTGTGTCCCTTGATTTATCGATAATTACTCGATATTTACATATGTACATATGTAACTTGAGGATAACAATTTTTTTTTGTTTACCAATCATAGCCTCCCCGCAAAAAAACCCATCAGCCGTTCGGAAGCGGCTTAGCATAAATTGTAGGTCCCTCCATATGCTGGGAAAACATCAAGACGCAAAACCACAAATTGGTGTAGGAGCTCGGCCGAAAATCGCTTCAGCGTTTATGGTGACCTTGCTTTAGCCGAACGAACGTGCCGAAAGTGGTTTGCACAGTTTAAAAGTGGTAATTTCGACTTATACGACGGACAGCGAAAAAAAATTCAAGACGAAGAATTGGAGGCATTGCTCGACGCAGATGCATGCCAGACGCAAGAAGAACTTGCAAAAGTATTAGGAGCTCATCAACCAACCGTTTCCAGTCGATTAAAATTATTAAGATTCATCCAGAAGCCTGGAAATTGGCTGCCTTATGAATTAGAGTCAAGAGATGACGAACGTCGATTCTGCATGTCGGAAAGGTTGCTTCAACGCCACCAAGAGAAGTCATTTTTTACATCGGTTTGTCACTGGCGATGAAAAATGGATTCATTATGATAACTCTAAGCGCAAGAGATCGTATGGTAAGCCCGGCCAACCATCCACATCCACAGCAAAGCCGAATATCCATGGGGTGCGCTCTATTATGAGCTATTGAAATCGGGTCAGACGATCAATCGGAACCTCTACCGAAAACGATTGATTCGTTTGAAAAAGGCCATGGCGGAAAAACTACCAAAATATGCGGCCAGACACGAATCAATAATTTTTCATCATGACAACACTCTGCCACATGTTGCAAGGCCAGTTAAAAACTATTTTGAAAAACTGTGGGTGGGAAGTTCCACCTCATGCAATGCATAATGCCCTCACCGGAGTACGATTCACTTCAGAACAGGGCATCAGAAATTGGCTCGATTCTTTCTTGAGTTTCAAGCCGGAAAAGTTCTTTTGGGATGGGATCCACAAAGTGCTAGAAAGATGGGCAAAAATCATAGCTTCCGATGGGCAATATTTTGAACATTAAATGTATCACAATTTTTTCTAAATCAAGCCTTAATTATTAAGAAAAACCGGACGAATTAATGCTTACACCCAATAAGATATTTAATATCGATCATGCATGCCTTGAGTTTTTATATTTTAGACCTGCTTTTATATTTATCTTCCTTTTCTACTCTTATTTCTTATCTGTTTTGAAATTTTTTATTTTTTTTTTTGTGTTTTTTTTATGACAAGATTTTGCCCGTGACTTTACAGGAAATTTCAAATTGTTTCTAATAAAATTATTTAATCGTATTAATTCGTTTTAAATAAACATATTTTATTATATCAATAAATTATTTATTTTATTGAAATGTTTGAATACTAATGAATTAAAACCATTTTTTACCCAAATAGCAAGCACAAAGTTTAATATATAGAGTTTTTTTCAAATAGATTCGCCCCTGGACTTCATTGAAAGAAAAGTTTGCCACATATTAACCTAAGCAAAGAGCTATATATATTCCAAATATTAACTCATTCGATCTTTCTGTACGACATTTCATATAAATTGAACTATTAATATGATTTTTTTTCATATAGATCGATCACAAATTCACTTTCCGAACACACCTACCAAGTTTCTAGGCTCTATGATCGGTGATTTAAGTTGTGAATTGAACCGTTAGTCGTTCAGTATAAAGCTTATTACATATATATCTACATATACAGATTATATTTTCAGCGTTTTCTTAATTTGGCGGACTACATATTCGTCTGAATCTTATGAGTATTTATATAAATATATTTATTATTATAAATATTCTCATTTACAGTAATCACTGTTTTTAGAGCATATCAATTGATTTCTAAAATTTTTTTTTGTTTTTAAATTGACAGTAAAATTATTATAATTTTTCAATTTAATTTATGTTACAATAACACCAAACATTAACCAGTAATCTGTACAATGATTTTTTGAATGAAACATAATTTTTCTAAAAATTTATTTGGAATCCCTAATTTCACTTATTACAAAATATTTTAGCAAATCATAGTAGATTTTTAAATGATCTTAGTCATTTATTTTGATAAATTTCTTTGTTGTAGCACAATTCTACATATTTTATGATTCAATTCCGTTTTTCTATTGTTAATCCCACCGACTTTTTATAACAGCATTTAAAATTGACGACAAAACTTCAATGCATTTCCATATATTTATATATAAATATAAAAACTAGCAATTCAAAGTGCCAAACACATCATTGTCTCCAAATTTAAAATAGAAAAAAGTCCAAATGCACTCAAAATTAATTAAAATTAAAGCAGTCGTCAATCATTGGCATTACTTTCTATAATGAAGTGAATGCCATTTGAGTCGGTCAATGCGCTTAGACACAGTAGCCATGTTTGCTAGTCATTTAATTAGTGTATGTAACATTTTCATTGCATACATACATACATACATACATGCATATACATGTAACGTCAATTTTATTGAAAACGAAAATGAGACAGCCGTTTGTACCATTTCCTCTTCGCGCGTCAATTTTTTTTATGAAACCAAAATTTTCAGGCCAACCATCGCTACGGAATTGCGTGCAGTTACTTACATGTGCGCACATAATACATACAAATACTTTGGAAAAAAAAATGCCATAAAATTTCACGTGTTAAAATAAAAAGCTAAAAAAATATTTCACGTTCATTTATATATGTATATATACATGCATATACAGTACATATGTTAGTAAGCTGTTTATTGCTCTAATACTTTATCACTGTATTACTATTAATATAAGACACACTTACTACTCTCTAAGTTATATATTTTCTTTTTCATAATGTTCATATTTATTTTCGAATTAATTGCGTGTAAGAGTATATGAATATACATATATATAAAGGCTGGTTTTTTAAGAGTTATAGGAAAGATTTTCAAAAAAAAAAAAAGAAAAAAATCCATAAAATTCAGATAAATAATCAAATGGTCTATCCGCTTAGTCCATGTTGTCCTCCGATGAGTTAATTGAAGCGGACTTGTCTGTATAGACATCAGATTTAACACAGCCTCACAAAAAATTGTCTAAAGGCGTTAAATCACACGATCTAGGCGGCCAATTAACCGGTCCCGAACGTGAAACAAAATGTTCACCGAACTCGCCTCTCAATAAGTCCATAGTTACGCTTGCTGTGTGGCATGTGGCACCTCTTGTTGAAACCACATGTAATGAAAATCAGGCTTTTGCATTATAGAAAAAAGAAAGTTTGATATCATCTCACGGTAGCGCTCACCATTCACAGTTACGTTATCTTTGAAGAAGTACAGTCCATTGATGCAGTCCATTGAGCCCATAAACCGCACC